TACATCAATATTATAATTTTCCATTTAACAACACAAATGTAATATAATACATATTCTATATAATTACATTATTGAATAAGAAATTATAACATTGATATATTATTATTAATTGATATTTATTGATTAATTTTTACTGATAATTTACTGATATTTATTGATAATTGTTAATCAAAATTTTTCATTTATGAATGTTTTTTTATAAGCAAAACAATATCCTTTTAAAATGTTTTTAAAATAAAGATTCGAAGATGTTTCCAATTACGCACAATTAGTTTCTATATAGTTTAAAAAATAGAATCAGACTTTACGATAAGTGCTATATGTTTGATCAGCGGGACGACGTCACGAGATAATTTGCGTAAACCTCTCGAAATGTTGATTCACCATTGATGTTATTTTTACAATCGACTGTGAAAATCGTCTTGCAGGGATATTTCATGCAAAGTAGTTTTCTATTTTTATTTTGTCTCTCAAGGCAGACGTGTTTTTCTTCACAATACACGCGTCTTTCATAATAACTTACCGCTAATAACTTACCGGCGTAACGCGACGATTCGCGCAATGCGGATAATACGCGGAGATTATGCAATTGTTGCAATCTTAGAATTTAATTTACGGAGACGATTGCTCGGATTGCTAGCTTTGTAAATCAACACGCTTTTGCAGACCTGCCTGCAACTCTCGTCTCCAGAATTCATGAGAAAATTGCCCAATGGCGATGCACTTCACCACATCAAGGACACGGGTGTCTCGACTTCCTTCAACAAGGCCAAAGAACCACCAAGAGAGAGCAGTGAGTCCATATAAGTCATTATTGCACACAGGATAAAATTAGAATACTTGAGAGGTTCAGTGCGATATAATATTTCAGTTTATATTCTGTCTTGCAAAAACTAAATTTGTAAGAAATTATAAGAATTATAAGAATTCTAATAAATATGGTGAACTTTATATTATCAAGAAAAAGTATTTTACACTTGATAATATAAAGCTCTTTGTATAAGATTTTTACAATTTCTTAATATACTCTGAGAGAGTAAAGTAAAAATTGTTATATTGGAGAGGATAAGATTAAGACTAAAAATTATTTCTCTATCGATGTCAAAAAATTTATACTTCTAAAAAATTATCATATAATAGTCTCATATAGAATTTATGTTAGAATTAAGTATGAAAGATACATTCTTAGTAATTAATTAATTTTATAACAAGCTAAATCTTAATGCCATTATTATGGACAACTATTATTTTAATAATTCAGATATGGACCTTCTCTCAAATTACATTTCTACATAAATGTATTATACCTATTATATTATTATACTCACATTATTATATCTAATAATAGCAATTATAATTACAGTCATCAGAATAAGTGACGACTAGTAAAATCAAATTAGCACGGATTTAATTTGTTGTGTCGCGCTCGATCGCCGAGCACTTTCTCGATTATCCCATCATCCCCGGTCGTTTCCGATGGTCGAACGCGACAGTTTCAACAGTTTCTTTCTTTTCTCCAATTTTGCACGTCAACGAGCTCGCTTATGTAAAAGCATCTGCGAGCGAAGGGAAGAAGAAAAGTCCGTCGCGCGACGAGGAACGACGAGTGATTTGATATGATTTCTATTTACGGCTCGGCGATCTCCTCAATCATAGATCAAAGTTTCAGTCATGGTGATTTCACGTACGGCTAGATACGATCTATGCTCGGCTGGTCTTCCCGATCCGAGAAGATTCTGCTGTGTCCGATGTCGTTTCGCCGATGATTTCCGCAATAGACTGCTTTTGAATCTATAATATTCTAGTTTTAACATGCTAATATTTGTGTGTAATAAATATAATATATTATTCCACGTTGATTTTGACATCGGTCAATGTTGTAGGAGGCAGTGCCGTGAGAAGATGGATGGTAATGACTGGATTCTTCTTCCTCGGATGTGCCTTGGTGGCTGGAGTAGGTCTGCCTTTAGCTTTGGAACTTCGAAGTTCTCATCTGCTGGAAGCTAGACTACAGGTGGTCCGAAGAATGCTTTCGGAGATTCCATTGATCGATGGGTAACATTTGTATTTTATTTATAAAAAGAAAATACTTCTAGCTATATATATAGATTTTACTCCGAATTAAAATATACTATCGCTAAAAATGAGAGCGAGCATGGCGTAGCAGACAGCGCACTAGTCTGCTATACTATAGAGATCCTGGGTTCGATGCAATTATTAGTAATTAACTCCTCTCGCAAGGTAAATGGCAAATCACCAAGTAATACACTTGCCCTGGAAATTTTTCTATCATTTTGTCGTTCGGAATCGACGTTAAACTCTAAGTCCCATACTTCCATATGACTGTGGACAAGCTGCATGCGTACCACAGGCATATGAGAAAAGTCGCCATGAGCAATAAAACTAAGAAGAAGATTGCTCAAAATAATCAATCGCGATTATTCTTAATTAAAAAGAAAAAATATATATATATATCGAAGTTATAATCTGCATTTATCATCTTGTATGAATCGTCCGTCAGACACAACGATTTTGCC